GGACTGTTTGAAGCTTTGGAAACAACGGATAAAGACAAGTGCTTCTCTGTAGAGAAAACTTCAAATGGAGAAGTTCTCCCAGAAGAGGATACACCAACTTCTGTGGGCACTTAAATAAATGTGCTTTAAAGGGGTATAATATAATAGCTACCTTGTGTTGAGATCTCACTATGTGTCAGGTATTCATAGTCATAATCCTGCTTAATTCTCAAAACAACTCTCTAAGGGAAATGTTATTTTTAATTCCAATTTTGCAAATGATGAAACAGAGGCTCAGAAAAACGAAGCAATTTGCCTAAGATCAGAGTCAGGATTTGAACCCAAATCTGACTCAAAGCCCCAGCTCCAACTGCTGTGGTGGATGGAGTCCTGATTTAGACTAAAGAATCAGAAGATTGTGATCCATGATTAACCTCTAAGTCCCTGTGAGATCTGGGAGGAGGTTCTTCCTTTTTCAAGGGAGAGTTTCCCTCATCAGTAAAATGAGAGAGTTGAGTTAGAACCGTGATTCTCGTGGGGGTGATACCATCCCAAAGGATATTTTGTAAATTTATAGGAATAGTTGGCACTATGATGAGAAGATGTTCAAAGGCATTTCATGGTTGAGTACCAAGAAGGCTAGACACCCTATACAATGCTTAGAATAATCCTGTCCAATGAAAAATATGTTTCATGCCATGTATATCCCACAAAACATTCTTCTTGCTGAAAAGTTTATCTAAACCTAGACCCCAACACCATTTTACATAAAAAATAAAGCATTCTTATACGGTTTTAATATATAATGAATTTTTCAGAGCCAATTGGGGGAAGATTGTGCTTTTTTTATTAAAAATATTAACAAGCATTTGTCACCATTTGGAATATCATATCACTGATAACAATGTGTCTCATGATAGGAGTTAGCAGAACATTGCCCCTCTCTCACTTTGCATTTGTACTGATCATATGTATAGTATCTGTTGCAAGTATCTGTGTATTTCCTTATGTCTTCCAATATAGAAGTCCCCAGACATTTGTATATTGAAATACTCATTACCTTACTAGAAATTACTTTCCTTTTATATTTCCTTCACAGAAAAGTTAGGACACCAAATTGATTAAAAAGAAAATATGTGTGTAGACAGGTTGTATTATCTGTGAACTTTGTTTTGAGATATTTAAAGAGGCATTATAAAAGACTTGTTTTGAAAGGGGAACTCCGGGCACAGGGAGAGAGATTATGACCTCTTTGTTCAGTGAAACACGGCAGCCCCCAATACAAAGCCAAGACTCAAGATGCACAATATGCATATATTTTCATTTACTCAAAAATAGATCATTAGCACCAACTCTGAGCCAGGAATTGCTGTGGGTTCTGGGATGCCGTAGAGATCAAAAAGACTCAAGCCCCTGATATTGTAGAACTCTCACTGGAAAAGGCAAAGGCTCATATCTACTAAAGCTAAATATTCTCCTAACCTATAGCCCAGTGATTCCACTACTAGGTATGTACTCTGGAGAGATAAGGGTACATGCCCACCCAAAGGCATTACAAGAATGTTTATAGCAGCTTTATTCATAACAACCAAAAACTGCAAACAACTCAAATGTCCCCCAAGAAGAGAATGGATAAATAAATCGTGGTGTATTCATACAGTGGAGTAGTACACAGTGATTAAAAAAAAAAAAAAGACAAACTACTAATACCACAACATAGATGAATCTCACAGACATTTTGTTGAAGAAGCAAGACACAAATGTGAAATTACTATATAATTTCACTTATAGAAGTTAAAGAACAGTCAAAATTAGTCAATGTTGGTAAGTATCAGAATAGTGGTTGTCTTTTGGTGGAGAGGTTATTGACTAGGAAAGCACACAGGGAACTTTCCAGAAAGGTGAGAAAATTCTGTAACTTGGTCTGCTTGATGGTTTTACAGGTGTATCTAAATTACCCAGGTGTAATCAAAAGTTCATCAAGCTGGACACTCAAGATTAGTGCACTTTGACAAACCTTAAAATATCCAAATTTCACCTCATTTAAAATAAAAGACTCTATTTGAACACCCCAATTTAAAAAGTTAGTAACTGCAAACAAAACGTCTCTGAGGTCAGACAGATTTGGGTTCAGATCTCATTGCCAGTGTTTTCTACATTGTGAGACCTTGAGAAAATTACTTATCCTGTCTGAGCCTCCATTTCCTCATGTATAAAATGAGAATAACAATTCATCCCTTTCCAGTTGGCTGAGAGGATTCCAGACGTAACATATGTAGAAGTGCTACCACTGTCCTTGTGCTTCTCCAGGAATTTCACACTCCATTAGCTTTGACTTCCCCAAAGCAGGGCTTGTGTCAGTGATGGCAAATGTAGGACACTCGTGTCCCCCACTGCCCACTCCTGAGCCCTAGGACATGGCTAATCAACTATGACACTCTTCCCCGCTGACCCTTAAAATCCATCTCCACACAGTTCTCCCTGAAGCGGCACACTCCATGAGAGCTGACATATGAAATAAAACCTATTTGCTATCCTGACCTACATCACATTCATCTTTGCCTTGTCTGCAGCATCTAGCACAAAGACCTGTCGAGCTTGTAAAAAAATGGAAAAAGAACTGATATTTACTTAGCATCTAAAACTCAACATACTCAAACCAGGTGTTTTTTATGTTTTTAATGTTACCACTTAAATCCTCACAAAAATTCTATGAAAGAAGCATAATTCTTGTTGAGTAACCAGAGAAAGTAAGCCCCAAGCTTATTTAAGTAACACCAGTTCACAGGTCAGAGGTGGCTAAACCAGGTTCAAATCCAGAGTCTAATGCCCAAAGTCTGTCCGCCATGGCATGCCATGCTTCATTAACTTGAACATGCAGTGCATGTCTATTAGAAACTAGACAATTGTGGATGCATCATCCAGAATCCAGAACAAGGAAATAGACATGCATTATACCATTAGGAGTGAGTTAAAAAGAGAATATAGAAAATGATTTCATGCCAAGAAGTAAATAAAAATAAGTGAGGTCTGATAATTTAAAAGAAGCAAGACATAATCAACAGTCTGCAAGATTAACAATTTACTGGCTGCTAATTCTGCAGATTGGCTTTTTCAAGCACAAGCCCATTGGGTATTCTGCTAATGGAACAGAGAGCACCTTGGCTAATCTCCTGAAGTGCAGCTGCCCACACTCTGCAGAGCCCTGCCTGTTTTTCTCGCTTTCAGTTTGGTCTGCTTTCCTGCCAGTTTCATGTATCTCATCAGAGACCAGAGGTGGGAAAGCAGAGCTGCCCCCTGACAAAGCAGAAGTCTTTGCAGTGGAGGACCAAGAGGACCAGTGAGCCCAGACCCCAGGCATGTCAGGACCACTGTTTTGAGTCTGAAAATACACATTGCAATGCCTTCTCTCCTGGGGAGAGAGAGGGAACAAGAGAAAAGACTGGGAGGGAGAAGAATGCTAGAATGTCACAGCCAGGAAAGCCTACAAAAGCCATTTTTCCTGTCTTCCCAAATGTCAACAGGTTTGCCATATGCCTATATGATCTGTACTATTATTGACATATTTTCTTTCTTTAAATAAGCCCACTTAGTTGACTACATTTAGCCTCATCCTAAGCTATAGATCAATAAAATCATACACTTGATGTGCTGGTTATATTTTCCTTATAGATATTAAAATAAACATGGGAACTATGATAATTTTAAATGTTTATCCAAAACCACAATGAGATACCACCTTACACCTGTCAGGATGGCTATTACCAAAAAAAAAAAAACAAATAACAAACGTTGGCAAGGATGTGAAGAAATGGACCTCCCATGAGCTGTTGGTAGCAATATAAAGAGTGCGGCCACTATGGAAAAAAAGTATGAAGATTCCTCAAAAAATTAAAAATGGAACTACCATATGATCCAGGAACTCCACTTCTGGGTACTTATCCAAAGGAAACAAAAATACTAACTCGTAAGATATATGCACCTCCATGCTCACTGCAGCATTATTTAGGATGGCCAAGCCATGGAAATGACATAAGTGTCCCTCAATGGATGAATGGATAAAGAAAATGTGGTATATGTACACAATGGAATAGTATTTAGAGGAAAAAAGGGTGAAATTCTGCCATTTACAGGGCCTTGAGAGCATTATGCTAAATGAAATAAGTCAGACAAAGACAAATATCATATGATCTCACTTATAAGTGGAATCTTAAAAACAAAACAAAACAAGACACCAAGCTCATACAGAGAACAGATTAGTGGTTGCCAGAGGTAAGGTGGGGTGAGAAAAATGGGTCAAGGAAGTCAAAAGGTACAAACTTCCAGTCATAAAATAAATAAATCTTGGACTTGTAATGTACAGCATGGTGACTAGAGTTAATAATACTGTATTGTATGTTTGAAAGTTGCTAAGAGAGTAGATCTTAAATGTTCTCACCACAAGAAAAATTGTAACTATTTGTGGTGGTGAATGTTAACTAGACTTATTGTGGTGATCATTTTGAAATATATACATATATCAAATCATTATGTTGTAAACCTGAAACTAATATAATATTATGTCAAGCATACCTCAATAAAAAATGTGTTCATCCACATATCACATAAAACCAGCTTGAGTCCCTCTAATGGGACAAGTACCACAGCATTGAGAAATACTGATAAAGTTCATCGGATTCTAGCCTTTCTTTTCTTTAGCAGCAGAAATTTAGTGGTAATAGAGGATTTTGAGGAACCCCAATCTATCCAATAGATAGCACAAAGAAGCTTTGATGAAAGTTGAGTAAGATGGCCAGGAAACCCAGCTCCTCAGCTTCCTCATTGCCGCCCATCCTGCCCCAAGCCCCCGAGTACCCTTGTAGAACACCCAAAGCTCAACAGCAGTATTTGAACACTGCCCTAGCTCCAGCCTTTTGTTGTACAGAGGAAGAAACTAAGGCACCAAAAAGAGAACTAATGACAAAATATTGCATACAAAATTATTGCAGAAACAGATCTTGAACACAGGGCCTTTGACATACCTCTGGAGATCTGTGCACTGTCCTGTGACCTGGAAAACCTTCAACCCTGGGCCAAAGAGATGGCACATGTCCTCCCTCCACCTCTATCTCCTTCCATGCCTTCTGGTTTGAAGCAACCTTTGAGGTGAGAGAAGAGGAAATCTATGACTAGGAGCAAAGGCAGTGAGGTGGGATTTGGACCATTATGGCTATGGTGCTGCTTGGTCTGAAAGCTCTTTGGACTGAGAATATAACACTGATGAATGAGAACCTCAGGGAAACTGACACAGCTCAATACATCTGTACCATTTGGGCCCGCTTTTTCTCCCTTGAAGAACATTTCAACTAGTTGAAGTATCTAGAAGCATGCCACAAACTCAAATCCTATTCCAGAAGCACTGAAGAATAATTTGAGATAGCTTCAGCTTCCATACTTCTGTCTCCGTCCTCACCTGTAGCTCCTCTCTGACCCACCCCTGTCCAGCCATGACCCTCCAGCCTCCCTTCTCTGGATCTTTCTCTCTAGAGGCATCCAGCATCTTTTCCCTTACAGAGTACGCCAGCTTCTGCACATCTCCTCCCCACCCATCGTGCTACTCTACACAAGACAGACAGCACAGCCCACCTTGCTGATGATGGAGTCTTCCTCCTCCAAAGGCTGGAGATGGCATCATAAAATAATAAAACTTGAACAATTTTTCTTTCTACAAGATTTTAGCTCAATATAAGGAATCACTTTTCAACAGCCAGAACTTCCCAGAAAAGGTGAGTTGGCCCCTTCAGGCAATGGTGTGCCTTCACCGTCAGGGGATCACTTGAGAAGGCATCCTTGGAAGATTCTGGTCTCAGATGGGAAATCTCACTGGATATCCACTAATACCTCCTTCCAACTCCAGAGTTTTCTGATTCAACGGGGGTCTGTGGCCTTTGGGTTGCAGCAAGGGGGAATCTGAGGCAGTTCGGGGAAGCATATGTGAGAAGCATCTTTGACTCTAGCACAAAGATCGTCAAAGTTTTTCTGCAAACAGCCAGATGGCACAAACTTTAGGCCTTGCACGTCATACGCTGTTGTTCGTTGCAATTACTCAATTCTGCTATTGTATCAGGAAAGCAGCCGTAGGCAATCTGTAAACAAATAAGTGTAGTAATGTTCCATTAAAACTTTATTTACAAAATAGGTGGCAAATGAGTCTTAACTTATTTCAAAATAAAAAGGTAAAAACAAAAATTGGCAGCAGGCTAGATTTGACCTGCTGCTATAGTTGGCCAATGCTTGCTCTAGGGGAAACTTATCCACCTGAATACTGCCCTCTCCCTTCCTGCTTCATCCACTCAACCACTGAGCCAAGTCAGCACTACCTCCAGAATATGTCTCATGGTCATCCATAAGAGAGACAAGCCGGCACCTTAAGTAATCAAACCCACATATTCCATAGTTAACAACTGCAGGAAGACCCCCAAATTGATCTTCCTTTGAGAGACATGTATGCATTTCTTAAAATGTCAGTGGTCACTAAAACCCCAGGGTAGAAGTGTTTAGCCCTTCAACCAGGAGAACTGTTGTAGGTTTAGGGGTGCTTATTATAAGCTCCTCCCTTCCAGATTCCTGAGAAATAGACAGCAGACCCAAGGAACCACATGAGAATCAAGATCCAGCACTGCACTTTCCTAAAAGGCCAAGCAAGTACCAATAGCTTCAATATTTAGGGCTTTGGGTTTACCATGTTGGAGAACATGGCTCAAACCAGACCTTCCCCAATTTTACTCCTAACCCCTTGAAGACATTTGGGTCTATTCAGAGGAGAACCAAAGTTCCAGAACCAACTCAAACCATCTGACCAAAAGTTGCTTTCTTGAATTGTTGTAACCAGAACAGGAGGGAAAGACAGCAAGTAATACTTGGGCCCACAGCTCTGCATTTAAGTGAAGAGGCTCCATTACTCTAATTAATGTGACTACTCTTACTGGTGATAGGGTAAGAACCTGGGACCACTGAGTTGTATTGGTCAGGGGTCTGGATCCCTATACTGACTACCATACAGAGGCAGGAAGAGGAGGGAAGATAACTTGGTCCTGAGGTACCCACTTTTCAAAGGGACAACTCTGATTAGATGCTGATGAGCATTAATGATTAGTAACAGTGACAATAAGACATTACAAGTTGCTCTTTCTGCATCTTTTCTCACTTATTTTCAGCCACCCTGTGAGGTTGCCATTCATATCAACCCCCTTTACATATAATGGGCTGCCCAGAGGAGTTTAAATCCTAGAATTAATTGAAACTAAGAACACTGCCATCTTGGCTATTTTATGTGATTTCTGTGCTCAGGGTAAAAACCTGAACTTACTTTTGGGGCAAGTTGTCTTTTATCTTGGAAACAATCATTTCAGCAGTCCCTTTGAGTTACAGGTGTGCAAAGTAAGTGCATTCCTACCCATTGATTTTGGGAAAGGGACTTCTTCGGTGGAGATGGGGCTTGGAAAGGGCTTGGGTTTAGAAGAGGCTGATATGTAAATTCAGAATGAATCCTCTCTCATACATCAGTTTACATATGTGAAACTACATGGTGGGTCAAGGAGCCTTCTGTGAGAAAATAGTTTGGTTATTTATCTACTTCTTATATTCTTTAGAACACATCTGACAAGGGTGGGCCTACTTGAGGCCAGACGATGGGAAGTAAAAGAAGGGTCTCCAAGAGGAAATTCATCAAGAGGGAGGAGTGTGGACTGGGCAACCCAGGCAAAGGCTGTTGAAGCAGCTGGTTCTGAGCAGTGAGTGCTTTAGCTCACGATACTGCTCTCTGGATGATGGGCTGGGCCTTAGGGAATACGGTTGCTTCTGTGTGAAATGAAAGAGCTGACCTCTGATGGGCCACATCCCTGGCAACCCAGGTCAATTGGAGAGAAGAGTATCCTTGACCAAGGGTAACCCAGGAGAAGAAGCATCGTCCTCTGTTCTCTGTGGAACCGCGGCAAGAGCTGGCATTTCTCCTGACCACAGGGACTGCCCAGCTTCAGCAAGGGCCAGGCATCCCAGGTTTAGTTCTTCTCACCTGGAGAGCAACAATAGGGGTTCTTGGGCTTCCCAGGAAAGATCTCTGAAGACAAGGTGTGGGTGTGGGAGAGACTGCACTGCCTGCTAATCTGAACAGGTGAAGGATTGCCGTCACAAAGTGGCTGTTAACAAAAGAGATTCATTTTGCTTTTGTATGAGCTCTTGAGGTCTAGGGACTTCCAGTTTCTGAGCATGTGAGCCAACTGAGGCTTAGAGAGGCTTAATAATAGGATCTCAGCCATTCTTAACTCTCATTGCACACAGAATTACTGGGGAAGTCCTAAAACAGACTGATACTTGGGCTGAACCCAGCTGAATTGAATCAGTCTTTTGGACTGGAGCCAAGGAATCAACTATATTTGAAAAGTTCCATAGGTGAATCTAATGTGTAGGAGGTGGTGAAGAACAGGACTAACCTAAGGCAGATAGATAGATAGATAGATAGATAGATAGATAGATAGATAGATAGATAGAGATAGCCCCATTTTATGGAAGCTGAAGGTTAGAAAGTCAAATAAGTAGCCCAAAGTAATTCAGCTGATAAGCTTCAGAATCATATGTCAAATCTAGGTCTGACTGATTGCTGACCCCATATTGATTTTACTCTATCATATTGCCTTGAAGATTCTGGAGAATGAGGAAAAAGGAACCAAGATAGAAGAGAACAGAAAGAACCCCCCAAAGACTTCAGCTTCCTACCAGTTAAAAACATCCTTGCAGGGCTTCCCTGGTGGTGCAGTGGTTGAGAGTCTGCCTGCCGATGCAGGGGACACGGGTTCTTGCCCCGGTCCGGGAGGATCCCACATGCCGTGGAGCGGCTGGGCCCGTGAGCCATGGCCGCTGGGCCTGTGCGTCTGGAGCCTGTGCTCCGCAACGGGAGAGGTCACAACAGTGAGAGGCCCGCGTACCGCAAAAAAAAAAACAAAATCCTTGCAGCGAATAAAAGGAAGATGTTACACAGAGACACAAAAATCTTCCTTCTTCATGTCATGTCAGTGAAAAGCCATCCAGGCCAAATCAACATACTTCAAGAAAGGTTTCTTTCTCCCACTTCTTTCTAGCCAAAAAGCTTGTCAAGCTTCATGCACTTGTTATATCACTGCGAGGCAGGCATTGAATGAAAGGGAGAAAGTGTGGTTGGTGTGGCTTGGATTACAAAGGAATCCCACCTGGGCCAGGGCTCCCAGCCTCACTGAGCACAGGCAGAAACAGAGCGCCATCTTGTGGGGAAATGGTGCAAGCCATGCTGGTTCAGGGCTTTGGACCAGAAATGTGAGGCCTCTAGACACTAGCACATTACAAGTGCCTCAAGGGCAGGAGTCCTCTGAGGGTCTGTGAACACCCAGTAAATAATAATATCGTTTTAGTTAGAGCCATCGCTTATTGAAAGCTTACAATGCACCAAGTTCTAAGCAAAGCCTTTCCTGAGTACCCTCCGCATCCCATATACACTTGCAAACTCCGATGTTGGCAATACTATCCTCACTGGAGTGATACGGGTCTAGAGATGTGGATAACTGACCAGCGCAAGTCACAGAGCTAGTAATGGATCTGGGATTCAACTGAGGGGAAAAATAATAGTGAACTTCATTTCTGCTAGGAATGTGGGGTCTGTTTGACTACAGAACTCTTGGCAGTGTATGTGACACGGGAAAAATGCAGGCAGGAAACCAAATGCCAGCAAAAACCTGTCCTGGAAACCATCCCACTGCTTTTTTATGTCCTCTTGTTCTATAACTAGGCAGAAAAACATGAGCCAGAAGGGTACTTGCAATTGTGTACTGCTGAGTGTTTAAAAACTGGCTCTATGGGGTATGAAAGCCCTGATTTGTGGCATTTGCCAATTTCTGTGGTATAAATATTCCCACGGTGGCCAGTTTCGAGCTACCAACTTGGCATCAACTACTTCACAAATTTCCTGAAATTTTAACATGAGCTTACTTAAACTGGCTCCAGTAAATCTATGGAATCAATTCCATTCTAAGAGAATGAGGCTTGTTAGCTAGAAGTAGGGACTTCCCCCATCCTCCAGTCCAAAATAACGCAGAGAATTTTGTAGTTGTTGTTGTTTTTGGCTGTGTTGGATCTTCATTGCTGTGCACTGGCTTTCTCTAGTTGCGGTGAGCGGGGGCTACTCTTCGTTGCAGTGTGCGGGCTTCTCACTGCAGTGGCTTCTCCTGTTGTGGAGCACGGGCTCTAGGCGCAGGCTTAGTTTCTCCGGGGCATGTGGGATCTTCCGGGACCAAGGATCGAACCTGTGTCCCCTGCACTGGCAGGCGGATTCTTAACCACTGCGCCACCAGGGAAGTCCCAATCCAGAGTGTTTTAGCATCCTTCAATGATCTCATTCAGGATTTTTCCCACAAGGGCTAATACATTGTTTACTTCAGCTTGGTAGACTCATACAATCTGGTTGTATGTTTGGCATTAATCATAGACACTAATGATTTAAATCTCTGGGCTTGGATGCACAGAAGATTCAAGTAAGTGATGTCCTAGACCAGAAGAAAAGATTTTGTGAATCTTGACAAATAGGAGAGAAGGTCCATTCTAGTTAGGATTGGGTTCACTTAGTGAAAGAACAAATTAAAACCCTTAAAAATCAGAAAGCAGAGTAAAGTGGATGTGAACTACACATACATCTTGGGTGGAATAAAGCAAGGTTACAATGAATTATATAATACCAGCCTTTAAAAATCAATATAGAATAAAATACATAGGGCTTCCCTGGTGGCGCAGTGGTTGAGAGTCCGCCTGCCAATGCAGGAGACACAGGTTCGTGACCCGGTCTGGGAAGATCCCACATGCCGCGGAGTGGCTAGGCCCGTGAGCCATGGCTGCTGAGCCTGCGCGTCCAGAGCCTGTGCTACGCAAAGGGAGAGGCCACAACAGTGAGAGGCCCGCGTACCGCAAAAAAAAAAAAAGATAACAATGGAATTGCAATAAAAGAAAGTATGATTACTGGGAACTGTGTCATCTCTCAGGTTCAGAATTGCTTTGCTTCTTCTTGGAAAACTAGCTTAAGTTGAGTTTGGTCTTCCCGGGGGTGGGGGTGGGGAGCCCAGTGGAG